TAAATGAAAAATTACTTTGTTAAATGTTTTCAATGGTGCGGTCTTTACTTCGTCCTTCCAGGAAGCTGTTGGGAATCCCTCCATCACCACTTGAACGCCTTGTGAGAAGGAGGTGAACAATGGATGGAACATGGTGCGGTTTGTTGTTGTGTGGACTCTATGGATTAACAAAAAGGAGAATGTGTTCAAGATCGAGTAAGGAGATTGGGGTGAACAGGATGTTTAAAACTATACAGGTGAGGTCTTTCCTCTGGCAAAAGTTCAAAACTGAAAAATTAACATATATCCTATCTTTTGATTGGATGCTAAACCCCGTACAATGCTTGTCTTCAAGAGGGGGAGTTACATATATAGCATAATAGGGGTGGAAGTCTCAGATAGAAGCATGCAAGCTTTTGGGTTTTGACAGGAATGGAGGAGGCCGCAAGCAGTTTCTTATTCACCGCTTACTTGAGATTTGTCCCCTAGCAATATATATGTTAGATTAAAATATAATTGACAGGGTATTGGCAATCTTGATGTATATGGGTTGAGAGAATCATTTATATTCTGTTTTTTAAATAAAGTTTTTTACCGTTCAAAAAAAAAAAAAAACCTTTGTTAAATTTATATTTTATAATATTTAAAGTTTAATCTTCAACTTTTTGTTCAATTAATCTTTCTACTCACTATTTTATATCAATTAGAGAAATAACTAAGAAAAAAGGCATTTTAAAATTTTTTAAGTCATCAATGCACAAAAAATTTTAAAAAGAACTAAATTGATGAAATGTCAAAAAAAAATATTTAAGGATAAAAATGATGGGGAAAAAGAAATTAAGAGGTCTTTAGATTAAAATGTTAAGATATCTAATAATAGTAACATGATGAATTTGATAAAATTAAGGTTTATATTATACTCACACATTTAATGGTTGTGGTTAAATATTTTGACATTTTTAATATTAAGATGTCCTAATTTTTTTTTTCAAAAATGATAAATATAAAATTTAAAAGACCAAACTAATTATTTCATATATAAAAGGTTAAGTGAGCATTGCCCGCTCTTGCCTCAACGTGGCTCCGCCACTGGTTGTGTGTTTACAATTTATCAGTGGGTAAAGAGTTGAAATTTTTTATTAAATTCAAGCAAAGTCTTTTGTATGGCTAAAAAGAAAATTGGCTGGGACTTTGTTTTACCTATACTGATTGGATTCAGTTTCCATCCCTGTGTGGGGAATAAGGACTTAAGCTAATATATGTTCTGATCTTGTCTGGGACTTATGGCTGAGGTCACCAAAGGAAGCCTGCAGGAATAAGTCTCTGATTTGATTGCTCATAACTTCCTTTTTGGTGGTTTACAGTAATAAATTTGTAAGTTAATAGAAGTAATTATTTTTTAGTTTGGTGGTTTACAGTAATAAATTTGTAAGTTGATAGAAGTAATTATTTTTTAGTAAATGAGTTTGGAGTACGCCTTACATCCTCATTAATAAAGCTAAATTTTTTGCGCGCACACACACATTATTTTTTAGTTTGGTGGTTTATAGTAATAAATTTGTAAGTTGATAGAAGTAATTATTTTTTAGTAAATAAGTTTGGAGTACGCCTTACATCCTCATTAATAAAGCTAAATTTTTTGCACACGCGCACGCACGCAC